ATTATCTAACCAAGGACCACTTGATATTTGTGTGTGTGAGAGTGTGTGTGTGTGTGTGTGTGTTATTATTACTGGTTCACCATTCAGCTTTAATAACACAGCCAATGTTGTACATCTCTTTAGGTAGCGATTTATGAAAAGTTTTATATTATTGTTTTTACCACATCAGTATGGTTTCAGAAGGTCAGCGATGTTATAGGCTCCAGGAAAAATTAGCGAGATCCGTGCCACCAAATTACAGTATTTCAGCATCCACAAAATGTGAATTCCCACATCGTGCACCTAGAAAAAAAATTAAACTACCTGGACAGCTACCTCAAGGGTTTGAAAACATAAACATCTGGAGACTTCTCATCTTTTAGCCAATTTTTTCAAGGCGATCAACAGATTGGGAAAAACTCTTGAAAATTAATTACTGCCTGTCTTGAAAATGTTGGACAGAGCTGTGTTTTGTAATATCTGTGTGCTTTGTATGCTTTGACATACATGCCTGGTTGGGGCCACTAGTGGGGCTGATTAACGTAGGCCTTTGTATCTCTGCTTCTTTCTTTATGTCTGCTTCTGTCTCCTTGAACCCCAGCAGGCCTCGACTCACACTGAGCCTGCTCTGCTGGAGGTTTCTTCCTGTTAAAAGGCAGTTTTTCCTCTCCACAGTCACTACAAGCATGCTTAATGTGAGGAATTGCCTTTGAGTCAACGAGTCATGGTTTTCCTTAGATAGAAAACTTTGAATCAATTTTACTGTATTGAATTGTTAAGTGACTTGAGTTGACATGTGTTGTGAATTGGCACTCTATAAATAAACTGAACTGAATTAATTTGGATGGCCTTGGTGGACTTGAATGACATAATTTAAATAATGAATAAAGTGAGAATGTGGAAATAAAATATCAATGCTCTATGACTTTCTCAGTGTTCAAATAATTACCATTCCATTAATCAGAGAACAACAACAGTTTTTACCACCATCCGTTTCATGATGTTGTGAAATTTTGTGTTACAGTGTCAAAAGTGTGAAACAGGGATGAGTAATCATAATTTTCTGCTGTAATGTCTTCCATTAAAACCAGAGGCTTACTCACAATAGTCAGATGGGTAATGGAAGAATTTGATCAGGGACAAACAAAACAAAATATTAGTCTGCTGCAGCTTTACTCAAGCTTATTAATAGTGATTAGTTTGTGGTTTCAAAAGCACATGGAATTCCTGCCATTTTCAACTCATACTGTTCCTTTAGGAATGAGAGGAAACCAAAATATGCAACCACAATCTGCCACGCCAATCGAGTGCTTTGATAATGCTAAAAATTTCATAAAGACTAAAGAGAATCCAGTCACCGGTGAAGCCAGTTTCCAATCAGAGATAAAACACTGACTAAATACTTTTCTCCCTGTAGTTAGTCTTTCGAAAGTAATGATCATTGGTTGCGGCTGCTTATTCCAGAATGGTTTGTTATTTTGCTGTCAAGATCCCTCTGTTCACCAAGAGATTTCAATGAGTTCCTATTGGCGAAAAAATTAATGCATCATTATTCTGTAAGCAAAAAATATGAGCCGTCTTGTGGCATATCTCTCCTGGCTAGATAGAATTTGATACAAACATTTTAATATTTGAAAGTGCAAAATAGAACAAAAACATCAATATATTTGATCATGATTTTACGTAACAGAAGGAAACTAGCTGGAAGTTGTTCCATACCCTTTCCAGTTTTTAAATATGGGGAAAGAAATAATTAAAACAGATTTTCAAAACTTATATTTTAAATTTACACCACCTTTTTTAAGTTGTTCACCTTGAAAAGAAACGTGGAAACCATTTGCAACGTTCCTTCCACGTCGTGTTTATACTCACATTGTTCATTGTGGGTTTTAGTTATAATGTAAAAAATGCTGAAAAAGGACATTGGGCATGAATGTTTTGTGTGGATTGGAATGGCACTTGAATTGTATAGAAATACAACAACATTGTACAGCTAGGTAAAATAAAATGCTTCTCTGTCATTGAGCATGTATTTTTACCTTCAGTTTCCCATCAAGCTATCAACAGCGGACGACTGCAAAGAATCCAAAAGGGGGGAAAAAAAACAAAGTATATTTTGAAGCCAATTTAAGATGTTCCTATGACTGGAATTGCTTTCTCTTGTTATGAAAGACCCCTCTGTCTCATAATCAGTGAAGAGCAGCAAAAAGAAGAAGAGAACTCTGATTCTGTCACTTCTCAGTTGTTTATCAGTGTTCCTTTCTATCTTTTTGTTTGTGTAGTTTTCCATTTCTCTTATGTGCATTTGGAACGGCATAAATATATTTTTATGTGCACCATCTGGCGCTAAAACGCAATGCCTCAGAGCAGAGCTGTAAAGTTCACCCAATATTGTGAGGGAACATGTAAACTGTTTGGCTAGCAATTAAAAAACTCCATATAAGAGAGGAGTGTTCATGTAATAATGACTTAAGGAGACAGCAAGGGAGAGAGAGAAACAACGAAACTCAACCTGACTAACTGTAGATATTTAAAAAGGGGAATAAAATCATTTTTTAGAAAGGCAAAAGTTCTGTAAAACGACAGAAGAAAAAGAACAAAAAAAAAGAAAATTGTTGGTATGAGATTTACGTCAATCTTTGTGCCTTATATGTTTACACCGAACTCCTGTTTATCAGAACGAAGAGAAAAGAAGCACGGTCATGTGAGAGCACGCATGCTTCACACTGTTCGTCTGGGAAAACATGACCCTCACAGAGCTGGAGTGAGCTGCAATAATGAATAAAACTGCTTCACCGGTGTGTGTGGGCATGTGTGTTACGTATGCATTTCTCAGTCAGTGCAGAAACCCAAACACCGGTTAACTCGTACATCAGTTTGTAGCCAAGGGGGAAAAAAGGTGGAAATCTCTGAAAACATGGTCTGATTCGCTGCTCCTCACTGCTCAGAGCAGGCGACTGCTGCTCAATATTTATGCACCAGAGCAGGGCAAATATGCATCAAGTGTCTGTGAATCCCTCTGAGGCCTGGAAGTTGACATGGGATTCCAAAAGAGGCACCTGTGATAAATACAGTACTAGTTTTTCAGGCAGCTTTAGTGGTAACTTTGCTGGCTGCATAATATCCTGGTCTCACTTTTCTGAAAAATCCAACTTTTAAAATCCATCCATTAAAAATTATTGTTTTTGGCAAAATACCTAATTGGTAGTCAAAATCTGATACTATTTTTTAAAGCTTCCTTTGCCAGTAAAACACCTCTTAACCTGTTTTAACATCTCAAAGAGGGAGCAACGATGGATCCTTCCGTATTTCTCTTAAAACAATCAATGCAGATCATATTCAATTCTTCTATATGCTTCCTCTTTTTTAGCTCAACCCACAGGCTTTCTACCTGATTTAGGTCTGGAGACCTGATGTTGTTTTTTGGGATTATTTTTTTGTTTGTTAACATGTTTACATGTTTTAGAGCCAGTGATACCACATTTTATGCTTTTTTTTAAAGGAATGGAGCAATTGTCTTCATGTTGAAATTTTCTGGTAGTCAACAAAAGCCTGTTAAACAAAAATAGGCCCACAGCATCACTTGTCCTACTTGTCATAATTATTAATGTGCTTGCCCACATACTCATCCCTAAGCCCAACTTTAATTATTGCTGAAGACCAGTTTAAATTACCATCATGGAAAGAAATATCCGATCTAAATTGTTGTGCTCCTTGCATTATCTAGGTAACATTCTTCAGTTAAGAGGACAATCTTTTATTTCCTGGTGGTTAATCTAAATAAGTGGTCCTCCTACTTGTCATTTTGGTGACATGTTTATGTAAGGCCATCCTACGTGCTAGTCCCCAGTAAGCTATCTTTTTCTGCACATACGCACTTTCAGGTGTCTATGCATGGTCAGCTACTGTTTCAGACAGTCATTGAATCTCGCCTTTTTCACCTCTGTTATTTGGAAATGGCCGAGGGTCGTTAAAGAAAAAGTGTCTACAAAGTGTATGAGAAGAAAAGAATGGCCTAAGAAGAGGCAGATATAACCTGGAATGCTTTGTGGGGAGAGCTCTCCTTGCAAAGTATAATGGGATTTGCTGTCACAGGGCAGGAGTTTTTTTTTTATCTTAATCAGTTTTATAACATGCATCTTTCCATCTATCTTCTGTCACGCCTATCCCAAGCAGCGTTGTAAGGGGTGCTGGTGGCTATCTCCAGCTGTCTACTGGCAGGGTGTACCCTGGACAGGTCGCCAGTCCATCACAGGGCCGTCTTATTACAGATCTGTTCAAATTCATTGCTAGTCCAATTTACTTTAATTGGCAACTTATCTCACCATTGTTAAATATTCTCAGCACTAAGGCAAATAGGTAAGTATATATCATTTTAACCAATTGAATAAATATATTTTTGTATATATTATAGAATCAGTTCATTTTGGAAACTGACTTAAGGTGATAGTTGTTTGGAACTGGGGCGAACTAAACAAAGTTTAACTGATGTTCATGCTTCAGTAGCAGCCATTCAAAACAGCTCTTCCAGGTCAAACACCAGCCGAATGGCAGCCAACTTCCAGCCACTGGAGTGACCCCCTCCTTCTCCTGGGCATGCATATTTTTTTACTCCACCCTTTCACTGAATTACAGGGTCTGACCATGAGATTATGCTTCTCTTTAGATCTAAATGTGCACAAATTATGACAGAAAGGATATTTTAGTACAAAGATTGATGTTTAAAAAAGGATTCTTAGGGGACCAGCCAAGGACCAATCAAGGTAAGTGGGGAAATATTGAATGGCTACTACTGTACCACTTTACATTCTATCTCAAAAAATATATTTCGTAAAATCAATGTGCTCATTTAAAACACAAACTTAACTTTACCATTGCTGTTCTAATATAATTAGCATTAGCATGAACAGAGAAGGCCAAGGCAGAAACCTAGGGTGAGCTGCATGAAAGCTCTTTTAATCACTCATCCTCAACAAAAAAAAAAGAAGAAAAAAACCCTACTGGCTCTCTAACGGACTCACCTGTTTAATGGCGCACCACAGTTTCCCATAGCAGAAGACGATCACCAGAAAGGGCCCGATGAGGCAGAACACAAACAGGCAGATGATGTAAGATATGTTATTTGCTGTCTTAGCTGTCCAGTCAACAGAGCAGGTGGTCCCAGGACCCTCTGGGCCATAGTGGCTCCAGCCAAAGAGTGGCGGAAGGGTCCACAACAGAGAGTAGACCCAAGAAAGAAGGATGCCCAGGGAGATCTTGCGGTAGTTCGATGAGTCGGCCTTAGTGGGGGTTATCATGGTGCTGTAGCGTTCATACGAGAGGACAGCCAAGGAGATCAGGGACACAATTCCTAAAGAACAGATAGAGGTTAAGTGAATGGACTTACTTTAAACGTAGACATCATGGATTCATGTCATACACTGAGACATAGGGCAGCCTGTTCATGTCTATATCCTTTTATTGACATGATAGGAGCATACAACTCTCTCTGGCAGTTCAGTATTCTAGTTTATTTTCTGCCATCTGCTTCGGGTCCCCACTGTTATAAAAAAGAAACAATAGCAACATCTGAGCTTGTACCAGCTAGTCAAAAGAAACATGCCAGATCATAAAAAAGCTCTTGTGTGTCTGTGTGTTGTATTGTAGTCCTAAGACTGAAGAGTAAGGGCCTTGAACTCAGTGTATACGTCGGCCCTTTGGACTTTATACCCCTTTTGCCATTTTGTTTTGAGGCTATAATGATCCATGGGGCTGTCAGTAAAGTCTATTGATCTTCAATGGCAGTGAAGAAGACTTAAAGTGAAAGCAGTTCTACGAAGGCCTTTCACTGACCACTCAGCACAAAAGAGGAGAAGAAAATAACTGCAAAGGATACCCATTAGAAGGAGATGGAAACAAACTTTAGCTCAGCAGTCAAACGGGTAATGGTCTGCTGGCTGATCAGACGCTGCCTTACATTTGAAATTTTCAATAATTGGTCACTTTGCAGCCAAAAACTCAAACGTGCTTTAGTAAGTTTACTAAATTATAGCCTGACAAAGAATGAATGAAATGAAAAAAGAAAATGAAAGAAAGAATGAATGAATACAGTTGAAAAGCTGAGGGGAAAATATAAAACATTTCTCATTTTTAAGCTATGAAATACTTTAAATGTGGTCCAGGTTTGCAGTCAGTCCCCTGAGTAATTACCTCGTAAAACCACATCATACTGCAGGTGATTTGAGGTATCTTTTTACCAGCTTTAAAGATCTGAAAACTACAATATTTGCTGCTTTATTACTTGAGAATTGCTTTGGCAAAGTCAAATAAGATTTAAGTGTTTGTTTGGCTTTAGATTAGAACTTCCCAGGACAAGAGTGATATTTGCTATAAATTCTATTCAATTGTAGCAGTGACCCTTAGGGTTGACATGGTGGAGTAAGATACTCTTTCCCTTAGAAGAGTTTTACAGCCTCTGGCAATTTTTTAACACAATAATTTATTTGCTTCATGGATTTGATTCCTATGACCAGAACACCTTTTTTCTTAAGGTACTTCCACATATTCCCTGCGTCTCCAACATGACTCGCTGAAAAAGTTAACTTTCCTTGCTTTAACAGTTCACTTTTTTCCAGGCTCTCTTATAAATGCAATGTTTTTAAAGTCTATGGCTAACTGCTGCCATGTCAGCAGATCCCCCCTACAGGCTGTGGACATCTGCACCTCCTCCAGAGTAACAATGGGCCTCTAACGTCTTCTTTGATTAATACTGCCCTTGTTACTGTTTGATAACCTGGCCATGATCTAGAGCTCCAAACGACTTTATTTCTGACCCTCTGCTGTGTTTGGTGGTACTAATGAAGCTTTTTGTTCACATGTGCTCACTTTACAAACCTCCAAGGTCTTCACAGAACAGTTCTGCTGAAATAAAGCTACATGTACAAGAGCTCCAGTGTGTAATAAGGGAACCTATAGAGACATTCCATTGCATTTTCTTACAGGGCATTAGAGTTAAGGGGATGTAAAACATGCACCCAATACTTTTAAGTTACATTTCTAAAAAACTCTCTGAACATGGTTTTAAATCCACTTCCTGGTGTATTATATTGATGTTTTTGATTGTAAAGCCTGAGGAGGCAAAGTTGGTCCTCTGATGCCACTTTCCTGCAGCTTTTGCATGCACCCCTTCTTTGTAAAATAAACAAACCTGATACATCTTGGATCACAGAAAAGCAGTGGGAGGGGTCCTCTGGTTTATTTGCTTCCTATTAAAGTCAAAATCCCTTCTACTCAAAACTTGATTTTCCTCTTGGCTACTATTAGTTCAGTATCTGCAGTAACACAGACCTAACAAAGCTTTAGAAACAAGATTCTGTTTGATCTGGCATGGCCCACTGCAAGCAACTTAAAAAAAATGCTTCCCATCTAGTGTATTCTTGACGAAATATTCCCAGCTCTCTCCTTAGCTGTTCCAGCTCATCTTGGGCTGCTTTCTCTTCAAACTCAGTCAGGTGTGAAATAAAACAACAGCAGTACTCTCCTTGCATAGCACACACACAAGCTGGTGTCATCTCCACACTGGAGACTTAGTGGGAGTGTTAATAGCTAAGTGTCATTACTAATTAGAAATGTACTGCTGTTGCAAAAATTGTGGGATGTTTCAGAGAGTATAATAACTACTGGTTTTGAAGCGTCTCTTGGAGAGTTATCTATTAGCATTAGAAAACTATTTTCAAGTCAATTCTGCTGATAAAGAGATCATCTAACGTTTCCTAAGCTGGACTGATAACTAATGGTAACGCTATCCTGAACATATATTATAATCAGCTGGGAGATTTTTACCAGACATATATTATTTTCAAGAAGCCGATTTACTAAAACGGTGATGAAAGCACCTAATACTGGTTAAACCCAAAGGGAAAGATGGCTGCTAATTATACGCCATCATAAACAACAAGAGGAACGGAAGCAATTAATATTTTCTTTCCAGAAAGAGATGTAGCATTGTGTATGATATGAAATCTTTTGTCTACATTTACTGAACACCAAAGAGCCAGATTTGGTTTAGCATGTTTTAATCAAATCCTGATGTTGTTAAAGTTAGAACACTCTATGCAATATAAAGCATTATGATGTAATAAATAATGAAAAAATGTGATGCAATATATTACAGTGCTTAAACTTAATTAAGATTTTTTGTGTTATTTTGATTTCTTAAAATTAAGAAAAAAAAAAGGTTTCTGTGTGACAGCAACAATATCATACAAGAAGATATGGGGTGAGTATATTCATGGGTGTTTAGATACGATACGTGTCACGATCTTTGGGTCACGATACAATATTATAACGATAATGCAGTATCATTATATATTGCGGTAATTTTCCTAGCTATCAAAATAAAATTTATAGATAAAAAGCTATTGCTGTATATGTTCATTAGAAGACATTGATCATTTAGTCATTTTGGTATCCATGTTGTTTGGGGTTTGACTGAGTCCAGGTCTTCTACTGTGACTGCCTCAATTACATACATGGTGTAACGCACAGAAAAAAGGCTCCTCAGCACTATCTGCTAGAGTGGCGGTGAAGAGGTAGTCCATTTTCCCTCACTGTTTTAGGTGAAATGTTTTGTTTTTTTGTAAATCAAGACTAGGAACTGAAAGATTTATGTTATATCGAGCAGCTGAAAATCAACAAATCGATTTTTCTTACCGCCCTAATAAAATATCATGCATGGTCATATCATGATCGGAAATTAAATATCTCTGTTTAGATCAACACTAAATAAAATAATAAGACCATAATGTGTGTATACTTGTACAAAGCATTCGATCAAATTAAATCATTTAAGCAAAACACAGATCTGTCTAAAACGTGAAACTGACATTGCACACATTAACAGTGGAGATTATTTTTGCTCCAACGATCCGAATGGGTGTGTACATGGACCCCATCAGAATGACAATAAGCAAAAACCACATCACTTGACATTTCTTTTGGAAAGAAATGTCAACATTTTTGATCTGATTAGGCCTTCAAAATGATTATTTGTGTCCATGTAAATATAGTTATTCTAATTGTAACATGACAAACCAAACACACTGATAAATATTCATACTCTCTATACCAATGGTTGATCCAATATGATTAACTGCTGAATTAACCTTCAGCTAAAATGAAAACCAAATACTCTTATGCTCCTTTTTGTTGCCAAAAAGAACTCCTTAGTTTTAACAAGGGCTTTTTTTCTAGCTTAATTGTGTATAATATTATTACTCTTTTAGGATTTCATCATCTGTGGTTACACAGCAGGCTAGGTGAGAGACAGAAAACCCTTTATCTGAGGAAATGTAATAGATTGTGAAAGGTCGTCCTTTGATTAAATTAGAGCTGCTGCTAAATCATAGGATGGCTCATTATCTTATAACATAATTAAGAAAAAGGAGAATCTTTCTTCTCCTGATTCTACCGCTGTCACTCTGTGTATCTGCCTGCTTTCATATTCCAATCTAAGAAGTGTTGAACCAGTCAAAGACTGATGGGAAAATACAAGACTGAAGAAATTTGTAATTTTTCTGTGAGTCTCATGGCGGCCTCTTTTCTTCTCTCATCACAGGTATATTAATCAGTCCACGCACTGCTTAGCTTACAAAAGATATTATTTGACATCTGGCACACAAATTCATCATCATTCACACTGATACATCCTAAATATTATCCTCAAAACCTTTTTTTTTTTTTTCGCTTGTCATTCTGACTGCTCTGCCAGCTCACGGCTGTTCTGCTTTGCTTCTTTTAGCTTCGCACCACCACAGCAAATTAACTTCACTCAGGCCAGGTGCCGCTTCGGACAACATGATGTACATTTATAATCACTTCCTCCCCTTTGTGGAGCCATTTCTGTTCTCTGTGTGTGTGTGGTGATTCAGTATGCTCCACATTGGCTCAGAAGTGCAAGGTTAATTCACTGGCTGTCTGCAGAGTCCACTTGTGGCAGGAGGCAGGCAGCAGCATGCAGGAACACGCTCCAGAATACAGAAAAAGAAATCCTGTGCTGTTCCTCCTCAGTATTGAGAAAGACAGTATTAGCTCAGCAATAGAGGCTGGAGGAGAATTTATAAAAGGGAGTAGAGAAGAAGTAAAGAAGGTAAAAATACTTCCAGGGGGACCATTGTAAAGAAAAGAAAGGTGAACTTAAGCATTTAAGCATGTAGCACCCACATGTCTTTGCTACACGTTCTCAGCTGACCTACTGACTAGTCACAGCAGATCTTACAAACAGAAAGCAGGAGGATGATAGAGTAGTAATCGATTTGAAAGACGGAACACGAACTCACCATCTCCACATCTCACAATGCATTTCACAAAGAG